TCTGGTGTTCGCCAATCACACACTGCTTTCACCTTGTCAGGATCAGTTTGCACACTATACTTGCTTACAATGTGACCCAAGTAAAGCACCTCTTTCTGGAACAAGTGGCATTTCTTGGGATGGAGTTTGAGGTTTACTGCATTCAAATGCTTGAATACTTCCTCTAGCCGGGATACTTACTCATCAAATGTTGCTGCAAGCATAATGACATCATCCAGGTACACTAGGGCTATCCTCCATTGTAGGCCTTCCAGTACTCTTTCCATCAGCCTCTCAAATGTTGCTGTAGCATTGCGTAGCCCAAATGGCATCACACAGTATTGCCAAAGACCTTGGCTATAACTAAATGTATGTTTTAAAGAGAAAATATATTCTAATGTTTATAATTTTTGAAATTTTATTAAAGACGTATATTTATTTACTTCGTTTTTTTTTCTTATTACGACTACATATCTGTTTGCAAAAGTTTCCCACTTGTAATGGAACTTGATTCATTCAGAGTTGCTCATTTTGCATACCTCAGTGCCTACCATGTCTCTACCCAGCCTAGACACCACACACCAAATTCAATAGCTTATTCACCTTTTAAGCACTACATAATTTGTTAAAGCACAGCCCATAGGGCTAAACTAATTAACTGTTACTGCAAAGTAGGTAAATAATTTTCAATTGTGATCCTCTAAGAATAATCACGTTTTTGTGGTATGCATACCATGCGATTTCTACCTTACTATTTTAATGTAGAAACTTTAAAAATCGTTTAACCCTTTTTGTGCCAAACCTAGATGAAATATTTTTTTTCTATTCAAAATTCCAACTTTATTCCAACTTTTTCAAATTTGACCAGCTTTGTTTAAAAAAGATAGATTGTAGCCATATGGCAATATTGCCCTGAAATTAATCAAATGTTGGTAAAAATACTTTCACATGTTTCAACTTCTTTCAATTTGTATATTAAATATCTGTTTTTGTTCATTCAAGTTCACCCACTTTGTTTACAAAAGTTTGATTGTACCCATATAGAGCATATGTAACACAATATATAGTAAACATAAGCACAGCAGAAGACCAATCTGTTTTGTTCACCTCTTTGGTTATGATTTACTCAACATGGGTGTGAAAATCGAAGAAATGATTTCTCTTGTTTGTCCAGCATAACAGCACGTCACATTTGCTGCACTTCATAGGTGACCAGCCACTGCTGGTTTCTGCATCTGCCTTTGTCACTGTGCATTGGCCAATGTACCAAACCATCATAGCAAGTATCATTTTGTGAGCGCCTGGTCACGGGTCGCTTTGTCAGGTGGCCCAAGGTTGTAAGCAGATGGCCGCCCTCGTTTCGGTACTCTATTAGCAAAGAGAAGGCTGGACCTAATTTCAAGCCTGAATTGTTTCAGTAATTTCGAATATCTCAAGCAAAGATCAGCATGCACCTTTCATTGAGGCTGACATCATGGATTATAGGATAAACATAATAGAGAGCAGCATCATATGTTCTTCATTGTATTAAAGTGTAGACACAAGGCAACACTTTCCTTCAAAGGAAAATTAATCAGTTGAAAACAGTTTTAATTGGCGATGAAGTCAATTAAATTAGTTTGTAGCCATTTGGCAACAAAGCACAAAAAGGGTTAATATAAGGCTATGCAGTTTTCGCATAAACACGTGATTGAGGAAACTGTTTAAGCAGACTTTGTTATACTTCTAACTACTTTTTTATGGTCTAGATAATAATAGCTG